TAGAACAACGGACTGTTACGGGGCTAATACGCGGTGTTTTCAACAAACTAAACTCCAAACAAGGGGGTGGGCGGAGTACCACAACTAACCTCCAATCACAGAACTACCATGTTGGATTGATCCGTAAAACTCAGTAAAACAGTCCGTTGATCTAGCATTGCTCCGGCGTATGCACCAATGCATTTTTTTGTCGAGTGTGTATACTGTATAGTCGAAAACATCAAAGTTCATTGCCTTCTTGCTACACAAAGTTTTGGATTCCAGATTCCAATCTCAAGTTGCGATATTGTTTAGGAGTACTATAGATTTGGTGGAGTATAAAATAGCTAGCTTCGTTTGCAAAACCTTTGCTGCTCTTGAACGACTCGTTCCCCTACTGGCCTGCTGGATTGTTTATACGTCATCGGGACACGAGCACATGCACGTGATGCACAGGCATTCTTAATCCGGGTCGAGGCATCGAGAGCAAGCACGTACTACCTGCGAGTGGCGACGACGCACGCGCGCGATGCCGGAGCAGAGCAAGAGGCAGCGAGGCCGCAAGCGCACGGCGGCGGCGACGCTGCTCCTCGCGTACGCGGCCCTGGCCATGGAGCGCGCCGACGCAGCGCTGCTCCCAGCGGTGTACAGGGAGATTGGCGCCGCGCTGCAGGCCTCGCCCACCGCGCTAGGCTCCATCGCGCTCTCCCGCTCCGTCGTGCAGGCCGCGTGCTACCCGCTCGCCGCCTACCTGGCCGCCCGGCACGACCGCCTCACCGTCATCGCCCTCGGCGCATTCCTCTGGGCCGCTGCCACCTTGCTAATAGGCCTCTCCACCACCTTTGCGCAGGCTGGTCATCCTTGCCCTTGCACGTTTCCATTCATGCTCACTCGCGGCCGTGCGGCCGCGCCCTGTTCCAGAGCTCTGATCCCATAGAAATTGAATGATGCCATATTGCAGATGGCCGTGACGGCGGCGTTGAACGGCGTCGGGCTGGCGCTGCAGATCCCGGCGATCTTCGCCTTCGTCGCGGACTCCGTCGACGGCACGAACAGGGGCATGGCCTTCGGGTGGCTCATGGTGGCCAGCAAGGCCGGCACCGTGGGCGGCACCACCCTTGGCCTACTCATGGCGCCCACCTCGTTCTTTGGTGTTCCGGGTTGGCGGCTCGCCTTCCTCCTGCTCGCCGCCGTGGGGGCGGCGGTCGGCTTGTCCATCCGTGCGTTCTCGGCCGCCAGCAAGGCCGCTGTCCGGGCCGCCAAGCCGGTGCGGCAAGAGCTGCAGGACTTCGCGAGGGAGGCGAAGGCCGTGCTACGGATCCCGTCGTTTCAGGTCATCGTCGCGCAGGGACTCACGGGTTCGTTCCCCTGGTCCGCGCTGTCCTTCACGGCTATGTGGCTCGAGCTAGTCGGCTTCTCCCACGGCAAGACGGCGGCGCTGATGACCCTGTTCAAGGTCGCCACGTCGCTGGGCGGCCTCTTCGGCGGCAAGATGGGGGACGTCCTCGCCGGAAGGCTCAAGAACTCGGGCCGCATCATCCTCGCGCAGATCAGCGCCGGCTCGGCGATCCCCCTCGCCGGCGTCCTGCTGCTCGCGCTCCCGAACGAGCCGGCGACTTTCGCCCACCACGGCGCCGCGCTGTTCGTCATGGGCTTCATGGCTTCCTGGAACACCTCGGCCACGAACAGCCCGATACTGGCCGAGATCGTGCCGCCGCGGTCGAGGACGAGCGTGTACGCGCTGGACCGGACGTTCGAGGCCGTGCTCGCCTCGTTCGCTCCCCCGGTGGTCGGCATGCTCGCCGAGCGCCTCTATGGCTACAAGCTGGTGCGCTCGGCTGTGAGCGGCGCAGAGCACGCGGCCTCCGTCGAGACGGACCGGCACAACGCGACCTCCCTCGCCAGGGCCCTGTACACCGCGATCGCCATCCCCATGGCGCTGTGCTGCCTCGTCTACTCGTTTCTGTACTGCACCTATCCCAGAGACAGAGACCTGGCGCGGGCTGAGACGGCGCGAGATGGAGGTGGAGCCCGTCCCGGCGGCGAGGGGTCCGACACCGAGGATGAAGGGGAGGAGAGGGAGCTGCTGCCACAGTGAGCGTCGTTTGACTTACTAGTTGTGTTTTATCCTTTTTGAGGGATTGACTGATTACAACCAGTATTGGACACACACACGGCAAAAATGACAAAATTGATCTGTGGACCAAATCAATTCAACTGAACTGTTCTTTTTTTTTTAAAAAAAAAGCTCAGCTAACCCTTTCATGCAGCGCCCGATAACTAGGCGCCACACTCTACAATGCAACACCTAGCTCTCACGCGCTGCACGTCTGGCCAGCGTGGCACCCTGGGCGCCTCACGGAGCAGTGCAACGTCTTAGAGCTAGACGCCACACTTGTAATGTGCAGCCCTAAGAGCTAGGTGCCACACATGTTATGTGCATCGCCTGGCTCTTAGGCGCTGCACATTCTGTTAGTAGTTGGTAGGCTGGCCCCCCTCCCCCACGCCCCCCACACACCCCCAACCCCCAACACCACTCAAGGTAATCTCCCGCGATCCCCATGTTTTCATCCAAAAAATGCTCACATTTGCTCATTTGTTGCTAGTTTGGGAAACCCTAGCTTTTTATGGATCTTGAAATTTGTATGGAGATATGAGATGTTTGTTTGCCAATTTGCTAGGATTAGGCTTGTTAGTATGTTAGGGTTAGGGTTATGGGTGTTGTTATGTTGGAGCTAGGGTTAGGCTTGTTAGTATGTTAGGGTTAGGATTATGGTTGTTGTTATGTTGGGGCTAGGGTTAGTGTTGTTAGTATGTTAGGGTTGTGCTTGTGGTCATTGTTAAGTGGGGGTTAGGGTTATTGTTTCATATCTATGTTAGGGTTTGTATTTCGTGTTAATCTTCGGATGAGTATTCATGGAAGATATGCTACGTTTCGTTGTTTTTAATTATTATAGGGATGGGAAGAACATGTGTGTATGTTCATCATGTGGACAAAGACGCCTTTTTGAAAGGCAATATTGAACCGGACCCAGATGAGCTTGACATGATGTTTGAGAGTAGTCCTAGCTATGCGGAAGTCTTGAAACAAGTGAGGAAAAAATTGAATTGGATGGCCCCAAGTGATATCGTTGAGTTTGAGGGAAGGCATAATGTGGGTTTTGGAATGCACATCCGTTGGAAGACCATGTGTGTGAACTCCGAGCAACGTTGGGTTGCATACAAGGAGACGGTGACCGAATCACTAGACAAGGCTCTTGAGTTATTTGCTACAAAGAAGGTTGAGTCTAGTTTGCATTTGGACTTGAACCGGAACCCCTCACCGTTGGTTGTTAGTAGTTTCCCACCCATGAAGCAAGATGAAATGAGTGAACCTCCTTTGACTCAACTAGTGAGGCCAACATTGAACCCAATTTCAAACAATCAAAATGAAGTTTTGCAAGAGGAGAATGTTGAGTATGAGGACAATGACAATGAAGTTGATCTCCATGACAACAATGTGGGTGATCTTGACAAATATTACGTGCAAGAGACAATGGACCCTTCCATCCCTTATTCCCTTGGCTATGCATCAGAGTCGGATGACGAAGGTCCCGATGAAGAAGTTGATGAGGAGGGGCTCACGGTGAAGGAGGCCGAAGCTTACGAGAAGGTATTCGGGCGGGATCATCGGACACCATTGTTCAAGGATGTTAGTCTCGCGGATGAAGCCGTGGTAGATGGTGGCCAAGGTATATCTGTTGGAGTTAGGACAAGTTCTCACTGTGATTTGGAAGACGGCAAGAACGGGATTTCTCCCGGGTCTAAGTTTGGAACCTTTTTGGAATTGAAGATGTGGCTCGATAACTACTCAGTTACGCTTTATTGTTCACACAAGGTGGTTCACTCGGACGTCAATGTGCGTTACACGGTTGCATGTGAAGAGAAAAAATGTCCATGGATTGTGCGTGCAAGACCATGGAAAGGAGGGCCCACTTGGCACATAGTGAGCTGTGTACCAAGTCACGTGTGCCGAGGCAAGAAGGTGGATGACAAGGTTGTGTCCCAAAACCACAGACAACTCACGTCCGAGTTCATCGCTTACAGGCTTTCCAACTCAATATCCATACTTCCAACAATGAGCATCCAACAAGTCATGGACCTTGTGAAAGCCATCTTTCATTACAAGGTGAAATACGGCAATGCATGAAGGCGAAGCAAGCCGCATTTAAGATGGTGTATGGTAATTGGGAGGAAGCATACAACCAAATCCCTAGGTTGTTGTTAGCTATGGCCTCCACTAACCCGGGCATGGTTCATGTGGTCGAGCCTCATGGGCAAAAAACAACGATTCACGATAGAAGGACCGTCTGAGTATTTGGACGTGTGATGTCTACTACACAACCTTCTTCTTGTAGACGTTGTTGGGCCTGCAAGTGCACATGTTTGTAGGACAGTAGCAAATTTCCCTCAAGTTGATGACCTAAGGTTTATCAATCCGTAGGAGGCGTAGGATGAAGATGGTCTCTCTCAAACAACCCTGCAATCAAATAACAAAGAGTCTCTTGTGTCCCCAACACACCCAATACAATGGCAAATTATATAGGTGCACTAGTTCGGCGAAGAGATGGTGATACAAGTGAAAAATAGATAGTAGAAATAGGTTTTTGTAATATGAACTAATAAAAGCAGCAAGGTAAGGAGCGATAAAAGTGAGCGTAAATGGTATTGCAATGATAGGAAACAAGGCCTAGGGTTCATACTTTCACTAGTGCAAGTTCTCTCAACAATAATAACATAGGTAGATCATATAACAATCCCTCAACTTGCAACAAAGAGTCACTCCAAAGCCACTAATAGCGGAGAACGAACGTAGAGATTATGGTAGGGTACGAAACCACCTCAAAGTTATCCTTTCTGTTCTATGTATTCAAGAGTTCGTAGTAAAATAACATAAAGCTATTCTTTCCGCTCAATCCATCATAGAGTTCATACTAGAATAACACCTTAAGAGACAAATCAACCAAAACCCTAATGTCACCTAGATACTCCATTGTCACCTCAAGTATCCGTGGGCATGATTATACGATATGCGTCACACAATCTCAGATTCATCCAACCAACATAAAAGTATTTCAAAGAGTGCCCCAAAGCTACTACCGGAGAGTCAAGAACGTGTGCCAACCCCTATGCATAGGTTCCCAATGTCACGAAACCCGCAAGTTGTCACCAAAACATACATCAAGTGGCACATGACATCCCATTGTCACCACAGATAATCACGGCAAGACATACATCAAGTGTTCTCATAAAAGACTCAATCCGATAAGATAACTTCAAAGGGGAAACTCAATTCATCACAAGAGAGTAGAGGGGGAGAAACATCATAAGATCCAACTACAATAGCAAAGCTCGGGATACATCAAACACGAGAGAGAACACGAGAGAGAGAGATCAAACACATAGCTACTAGTACATACCCTCAGCCCCGAGGGTGAACTACTCCTTCCTCGTCATGGATAGCGCCGGGATGATGAAGATGGCCTCCGGTGATGGGATCCCCCTCTGGCAGGGTGCCGGAACAGGGTCCCGATTGGTTTTTGGTGGCTACAGAGGCTTGCGTGGCGGAATTCCCGATCTATCTTCTGTTCTGGAAGTTTTAGGGTACGTAGGTATATGGGTGCAAGGGGTACGTCGGTGGACCTCCGGGGTGCTCACAAGGCAGGGGGGTGTGCCCAGGGGGGGCGCCCCCACCCTCGTGGGTAGCCCGGGACTCCCCTGACGTGCACTCCAAGTCCATCAGGTGGGTTTCCTTCCAAAATTAACTTCTCCAGTTGATTTCGTTCCGTTTTGACTCCGTCTGATATTCCTTTTCCTTGAAACACTAAAATAGGCATAAAACAGCAAATCTGGGCCTCCGGTTAATAGGTTAGTCCCAAAAATAATATAAAAATGGATAATAAAGCCCAATATTGCCTAAAACAGTAGATAAAGTAGCATGGAGCAATAAAAAATTATAGATATGTTGGAGACGTATCAAGCATCCCCAAGCTTAATTCCTGCTCCTCCTCGAGTAGGTAAATGATAAAAAAGAATTTTTGATGCGGAGTGATACTTTGGCATAATTTCAATGTAAATCTTCTTAATTGTGGTATGAATATTCCGATCCGAAAGATTCAAGACAAAAGTTCATATTGACATAAAAATAATAATACTTCAAGCATACTAATCAAAGCAATCATGTCTTCTCAAAATAGCATGGTTAAAGAAAGTTATCCCTACAAAATCATATAGTCTGGCTATGCTCTATCTTCATCACACAAAGTATTTAATCATGCACAACCCCGATGACGAGCCAAGCAATTGTTTCATACTTCAATAATCTCAAACTTTTTCAACTTTCACGCAATACATGAGCGTGAGCCATGGACATAGCACTATAGGTGGAATAGAATGGTGGTTGTGGAGAAGACAAAAAAAAGATAAGATAGTCTCACATCAACTAGGCGTATCAATGGGCTATGGATATGCCCATCAATAGATATTGATGTGAGTGAGTAGGGATTGCCATGCAACAGATGCACTAGAGCTATAAGTATATGAAAGCTCAACAAAAGAAACTAAGTGGGTGTGCATCCAACTTGCTTGCTCACGAAGACCTAGGGCACTTTTGAGGAAGCCCATCATTGGAATATACAAGCCAAGTTCTATAATGAAAAATTCCCACTAGTATATGAAAGTGTCAACATATGAGACTCTCTATCATGAAGATCATGGTGCTACTTTGAAGCACAAGTGTGGTAAAAGGATAGTAGCATTGTCCCTTCTCTCTTTTTCTCTCATTTTTTTATTTTTTTATTTTGGTGGGCTTCTTTGGCCTCTTTTTTTTAATTGGGCTTCTTTGGCCTCTTTTATTTTTCATAAAGTCCGCAGTCTCATCCCGACTTATGGGGGAATCATAGTCTCCATCATCCTTTCCTCACTGGGACAATGCTCTAATAATGATGATCATCACACTTTTATTTTTTCTTACAACTCTACAATTACAACTCGATACTTAGAACAAAATATGACTCTATATGAATGCCTCCGGCGGTGTACCGGGATATGCAATGAATC